AACTAAAATATTTACATACATACATACAGATATTAATTTTACAAATATTATAGCAATCATTGTCATAAAATCAGCAGCAAATGTGTGGAATAAATAAATTATAATCAACAATCCCTTCACGGGCATTTGTTTTATTGGCACCATATTTACGGATATAGATATATGTATGTACATACTTACATAAGTGGTTTTTTTGTAAATATTCATAAATATGCACATTGAGCATTCATGCCAAAATGAACGGAAGTCGGAATTATTTATGTGATTTTCCAGTGGAAATTATTTATGAAAATTGCAAACATACTGTACTTGACCGCGAGAATTAAAAGCCATACATAACATTTAAATATACATATGTATGTAATACATACATATACATATTTAATTTCATACACACATACACATGTAGTTAAGTATGTGTAGTAATAGAGTGAAACGTATGGAGGATTAAAATGTTGTGAGTATTAAATGCTTTCATATGCATTTATAATATTGTTTATACATATTAATGTTTAAAAATGTATGCATGTATGTCTTTTGTTGCATACATATGTACATATAATAAATTCAAAAATCATGTAAGTGCATTATGTATTACTATTTCCTACATCCAGTCATCATCAGTGGCGATGAGCATTAAAGTTGGCAACCAGCTTGTATACATATCCTGTAGTGCTACACAAAATGTTCAAGGATATTCAAGGATATGGTAAAATGTTTTGTGTATATTATATTATGCATTCGAAATATTCCTAAAAGCGATTGAAAGCGAAAGCTTACAAATAGAATTTTTTTTTCGACTCATACAAACTAATTATTAAATAAATAAATGAAAATTAATGCAAAGATTAATTAAAAACAAATAAAAAGTTTATTACTATTAAACAAATAAAATTCCAATATTAAATATTTCAGATTAGCGGTTCTCTTGCCGCTTTACTTAGCCTTAATACACAATTTTCTTTACTACTTTCGAAATAAAGCTTTGAAATGTGGCACCATTTTGGAAAGTAATTTCCCAAGGAGGGAAATTTTTAGTGCTTCAAATTCTCGAAAATTTTTGGGTATTATCTACACATATTAAAACTTTAAATAAAGTTTGCTTCTTAAAATTAAATTTAGGGAAGCTTCCAAATATACTTAGTAATTCGATTTAAGGGGAAGTTATTTGCCAGAAAATAATGCATATATCGCCTCTTTTATTTAGTTCACTTGCAATTTAAACTTATTTTTATGTTATTTAACCAATTAAGGGCGTGTTTTATTTGATATTTGTGCTTAAAATAAAACTTCCCGTTAGGGAAATTTTGAAAAAACTGTTTCCTTTCAGTCTGTGCTTCTTATTGTGTTTTATTGATATATTAACAACAAAAAAATTTCAGTCTGTAGAAGTTAAATTAAATTACCCAAAAGGGAAAGTTTATGATTATTTCTAAAGCTTGTTATCATTTTGATCAATATTTACCAGCTTAAAGCTTACTATAGCATAATCATAATAAATTGTACCAGATAATCAATATAATTTCCACAAATTACAGAAAATTAATTGTTTCGGGTTAACGAATTTGAATTTCTTTTCAAAAAAACATTTTTCTTACTGTTTTGTGCAACGAATAATACACATAAAACAACTTTTTGAATTGCTATCCGTTTAGTAAAACTTCCTCAAAGGGGAATTTCGAATACATTATTTTTTTTGTACACTTCCCTACTTTTGACTGAAATACTAGCTGCAAATCACAATTTTAATAAATTTCCCCTTAAAGGGAAATTTTTAATTAATATATATTTTTTTGGCATTTCGGCCGCAGTCCTTAAAGTTGTTTATAATTTTGCCAATAAACCAATAAGTTAGAGTAAAGGTATTTTCAAAAAATGGACATTTTTATGTTAATTTGTTTCTGGAATTTAAGAAATTTAATTTTAAATTCTTTTGTATTCAAGTTTTACCAATTCATTATTTTAAATAATCACTCTCCTGTATAATATTCTTATATGTAGCTGTCTGTTCTGTTGATTTTAAATATAAAATATGCATTTGTATTTATGTTAGCACATCTATGTATGTACGTACATATATACATGGTTGGCAACACGCGTTCGACTTTGCGCTTACAGCATGTCTATGGCCGTTACTTTTGCTGTTGTTGTAGTTTGCCTTGTAGTTATTATTACTGGTTGTCATTGTCGCCATAAGCGCATTGCCATTGCCAGCGCCGATGTTTCACTAGTTGTCGTCGTGTTGTGTGCGCGCGAGACCGCTCTGTCATTTTCATGTTAGCATGCGATTTTATTGCGTGTCAACATGCAGAATGGCAGCATTATATTTTCCTGCTCCCTTTAAAATCAGCATTTCTTTTAATATCCTTTTTCGCTGCTGTCTTTGTTTTTTGCGTTATTTTTTTTTTTTTAGTCTCTGCTCGAGCGCGCCACTAAAGTAGTAATGTCAGCTGACGTGCTTGTTGTTGTTGCTTTGCTATTTGTTGTGGTTGTTGTTGCGGCTGTGGCGCACTGTTATGTCTGTCGTACCGCGAATCTTTGTCGCGCTGCGCACTGCTGTTGGCGGTTGCAACGTTGCAGCGTAACAAATGAGCGGCTTTTGTTTTTTCCCATTGGCAGCGCTATAGTTATTTTTGGTGTTGTTGTTGTTGTTGTTGTACATTTGTAAATGATTGTTATTGTCTTATGACTGCTAACGCTGATGATGGCATTTCATTGTAAGTTGCCGTTGTTGCTGTTGCTGCTTCTTTATACTTTAACGCCATTTAACCCCATGTTGGATGCGTGTATGGTGTGGCATACAACTTTTTGGTTATGTAACAAAAGACCAACAATCACCGAAAAGTAAATAGCCAAGCGAAATGAATACTCGTATAAGTCAGTTGAAATATCACACATACATACATATGCATACATACATGTTGGTATGTATAGTTATGCAGCACCGTTGTTTGTGGGTGTTGCATGGCACACCACATTGCCATATTATGGCATGTGCACTTTCCGTCAGCGCGCGGAATTGTAAAGGAAATGTACAAAATTTAAATACTATTGTTACTTCTTTCATTTATGTCATGAAAACGCGAGATTTAAACTGATTTAAGTTTACTTATAGTATGAAAAATTTAACATATGAACATAATTTCAGTTTCCATTAAAATTTTTTAACTTTAAAAAAATTCCTCTCGGTGGTAAATTTTCGTTTTGACCAAATCACACTTTTTTGGCAGGATACGATTTTTTGCGTTGTAAAGTGTATGGAATTTTTCAACAGCAAAAATTACCGTGAAGGAAATTTTCCCGTTTTCGAATTTTTCGACAAACAATAACAAATGAATTTATTTCTTCTACTTTGAAAAAAAAGATTTAGGATTTGGATTTTGTGAAAATTAATTGTTTATTTGCTTTTAAATTAAAATAGCCGTAGGATTTCTGATGTTCGAAGCATTAAGAATTTTTATTATAAAAGAATTTCATATTGAAAAAAAGGAAAAATATATTTTGCTCAATTAGAAATATTTATTTTTGAAATATAAATATATCACTTAGGGATTTCCAATAATTTGTAATTTTCACCCCAAAGAGCAAATTATTTTCCAAAAACCAAGAAAAAAAATAGTTTTCATACTTTTCCAAATAACAAAACGGGCAGTATTTTAAAAATTATTAAGTATTAATATTTATCAAAAAATTAACGTACTATAAATGTCAAATTTGGTCAGCTTTTTGCAACCTAAAAAGGGAAATTTGTGTTGTTGGATAATTTAATTATTTCTTAGCAAAATAAGTAAATTATATAATTTGTTATTTTAATTGGATTTAAAAGCATCTTTCATAATATTTTTAGTTGGAATATAATTTTTTTTGAAAATTGTTTCCCGAATAAATATCTTAATCCAAAAAGTTTGCATCTCATTAAAAATCTCTTACCCGAAAAAAATTTCGTCTTATTAAAAATATAGTCTAATTGAGAAATTCCTGGGAAAAAATTTATTTTAACAAATTTTCACATAAAGTTTCTCTATAAAAGATTCGTCTCATTAGAAATATTGTCAGCTTAAAATTTTACTTTCAAAAAATTTTTTTTTTATCTTCTCCGAAATTCCTCCAGAAAATTTTCCTGTAGGTACATTTTTCCTATACTTCTCTTCAAAAATATTTTCAATACAAAATATTTATCCAACAATACGAAATATTAAATTTATAACTTTTTTCCAAGTACAATTCATATGTATGTACTTCAAATCCTTTAAATCTGCCTTCCCGTATTTTATAATTCTTTCGCCGCCACGTCATAGTAGTATTTTGTTTTATTAAAGAATTCCCGGTAAACTATTTATTTTAAATACGTAGAAATTTTAGTAATTTAATATGGTTTATGAAAAATCATCCCCAGCTGCAAGTACAAATATGCATATGTATACAAAGAATGCGACACACGAGTATAACACGCTTTCAAAATTTACCCGCATACTTAGGAAGGAAGAAAAATGTCCACCACTAAAGAAAATAATATCTCATCAGCCGTTTGTCTTCGTCAGCATTGCTTCGCTTAAAAACATATAGTATGAATATTTATTAGTATATAAATATATATGTATATATATTATATAGAGAATATTTGTTTGTATAACACATGGAGCGTAAAGTCTACTATTACGCGCTTGGCTCATATCTCATATCACGTCTAAAACAAAGACAGCAATATACATATACTACACGACCGAAAATTGTGGTGTACTTATACTGTATGTATGCATACATATATATAACTGCTTACCACTTGGCTGACTAGTACGCGTGTGTGCCTCATTTTACGCCGCAAAACTTTATATTATATATATGTATGTACATATGTACATATTTAAGTAATTTCCTTTTGTTAAAGCTAACCAAACCGCCTCCACATGTCTTTCATTTAAATTTAAATTTATGTTTGCGCTTGTTTTTAAAATAATATATTGTATTTTCGTCTTCTCTTCTCTTTCTTATTTTTCCAGAGGGTATCGTATCGTATAGTATACCGAAAGGCGTTCAACGTGGCATGGAAGTGGATTTGTCAGACAAAACGTACGATGGTTATGAGCAAGGTGACCGATTTGTTGATGGATTGGGTCAACTGGTGGATGGTCAAAAGGGCAAGGATAATTTTCGCACTGATATACATGGTTTTGGTAAAGGTGAGTTGGAAAGTGATATATGTATATGTGCATACATACGAGTATTAGCTTTTGTAAATTATATACTGCGGCAAAGAAGAGATTTATTAATTCTAAATACGAGATTATCTTGTCTTTCAACCGGTCTTGAATATCATGCAAAAATGCAAATACATATGCGAGTGTAACTGTACATACACATATATATGATTACTTAACAGAATAATTCCTTTTAGGGATATTTGCAGTTTTTTTTTTAGAAATAAAAAGAGTATTTTAAGGTTTTCTCACTTATTTTTCGATATATTTAGACTATACATTGATTTTACTTAAAATATAATAAGAAGAAAATTAATTTTGCTAAAAGATTTTTACACCAAATGTAATGCGTAATGCAAATAATTACCTAACATTTTAACTTGTGTTTGCCGCCTTAAAATTTTCTTTACAGGAAACTTGGATTTTTTAAATAAACTGTTACAAATATTTTCCTTCAAAGTTAATAATTTACTTACTATCTTAATGCAAATTATTATCATTAAATCAAAATTTCTTCTAGAGGGAAAACATTCATAAAATTAAAATTTGAAATTTCCCAAAAGAGGAAATTTTTGCCTAAAGCAAAGAATTATGATTTTAAATGCAGCAAATATTTAAAGAAAGTTTTTCTTTAGGGAACTTTTTGTTTTATTTTAAACTCATAAGTTTAGATTGTTTCCCCTTTAGGGATATTTTTAAAATTTGTTTACTATTTAAATAATTACAACAGCTTAGTTGCGATGCATAAAGCATATTTCTATAGCTTTTGAAATTTGGAAAGATTAGAATAATTTTATTAAACTTCAGTCGAAAGTTCAATCATTTAACACAAAACTAGATGTCCGAGGAAAATGAATTTTGTAATATTTACAAAATTTCCCATTACAAGAAGGGGGGAATTTTTTCATTTAACTTTTTTATAAAATTCATGTAAACTCTACATTTTATTAATATTTATATAACTTGGTAAATTTTCGTACTTTCAATTTAAAAAATTAATTTTATTGAGAGTTTTTTCTCATTTTTTCTGTCCCATCAATATGTAAGTTAACATTTTCCCTTGACTTTACTTTTAAAAATTTATCTCAGGGGAAATTTCATTATTTCTAAAATTTTAAAAGCTCAAATTTTTTTATTTGTAATTTCCAAAAACATAATCATTAGTTCAAATGTATCCTTTTCTTAAACTGCCCTAACTATAAGCGCGTCAAACGCTTTTCCTGTAAGCATTTTACTCCTTGAATTATCAACCATCTCACTTTCGTAGTTTCATCTACAAAAAATTTCCCTTCACTCTAAAACCAAAAAAAAAAACAACTTTCACACAAAACTCAAATTAACTTAATTCAAGTGCATAAAAGCTGCTGAGAAATGCTTGAATAAATGAAATTGAACAAAGTTTGTTGGAGGAAATTGCTTACCTTAACCCTAATGTATGTATGTATTATATAATATGTAGATATGTATTTAATAAAAGCAACACCAGCAGAAACTAAATCGTACAAATGCTAAATAAGCATTTATATAACGCATATACATATATACATATGTATGTAAATAACTGTAAGAGCGACTAAAATTTGTTTGTAAGTCGAAAAACTGCTGATGCACTGGAAAATTCTTAGGAGCTCTTTGTAAGTAAGCGCGGCGTACATTTCACTTTTCCACACAAATTCATCAGTTTAACTATAGGTACATATGCATATGTATGTGTGAAGTATATGTTTTGTGTTTGTATATCTAAGAAACTCTGAAGGTTGAAGAAAATTGAAAGGATATGTTTTGTGCTCAAAAAGAAGAAAAAGGCAATTGCATGCTAAACTCACTGCCAAGCGGGGCGCAGGCGTTGGAAAGTTATGAAAAGCTTTTATACACATACACTCACATACATATATATATTTATATATACACATTTACTTCATTAAAACTGATTAGTATCAAATAATTACAAAAGTTTACCATAAGTTTAATGGAACTTTTTCATGTCCATTTGCAATTCTCCATTGCCCTTCGTATTCGTATATTTCAATGTATGTGTATGTATGTATAAATGTACGTTTGTTAGAAATACCGAAATTTGCTAACGTTAATAAATACATAAAGCGCGCCGGAAATGATGTACATATGTCTGTATATATGTATGTGTATATGTTTTTTCTTTTGCATTTAGCCCGGCACTGTCTGCCTACCTTTTTTTTTATTTGTTTTCATATTATTTACAATAAACAATAATGCAAATTTAGAATGTATTAAATCGAAACGTATTGGCCGCCAGGGAATGCCAAAAGAGTTAATTCGAGTTCGGCACAAAACTTTTCGCTGAAGTGGGCGCGCGTGGAGTCGCCACTAAAAGCTGTGGATGAAGTTGGCTAAATTAAAACTTCAAACAAACAAATAAATAATTTCCTCATCAATGAGCAAAATAGATATAATTTTTTTTCTTTAACAATGGAAGAAAGGGAGGAAATTTACTAACATGCCAACAAATATATATGTATACAAACGCTATATGCTATGTATAGTTTGTAGTTAGGGTGGTCACAGTATGGCTGGGGTTTTTTTTCCAATTCTCTAACATTCAAAAAGGCAGACTATTACAAACAGAAACTTGAATATTTGCCGTTTTGAAAGTTTAAAAAAAATGCTATTTAGAATTTTTTGAAATAAATTTTTTTTATAAATATTTTTTTTTTTTAACTTTATTTGGTAAGCGTCAGCTGAAATTCTTATAACTCTTTTTATTGCGCACCCCTAGTTAAAAATGTTTGTTGATTTTATAAAAAGTAAAAGTTTTTCGACAAAGAAATGGAATTGCAATGCAAAATGTTTTTTGTTCAAAGAAATAATGAATTATAAAACAAATAAATAAAATATTATATTCGTTATTTTTCGGTATAAAGATTTTGCAAAAAATTTGAGACAATATTTTAAGAAAAAATTTAACACAAAATTTTGAAAAAAACTTTTGAAAAAAGATTTGGGAAAAATATAAAAAGATCTTGACAATTTGAAAAATTTAAAAAAAAAAAAATTTAAAAAATGTTGAAAAAAAATTCTGTAAAAAAAATTGACACCAAATTTAAAAAAAATACATTTTCAAAAGAAAAATTTGAAAAAAAATTAAACAATCTTGAAAAAAAATGTGAAAAATGTTTTGAAAGAAAAATGTTCGACAATTAAATAGACAGAGGATACTTTTTTTTTTCAACAAAAAAAAAACATTTTGAAACAAATTTGAAAAATCTTGAAAAAAAGCACTGAAATCATCACAAAAAAGTTTAAAAATAATTTAACATTTATATGTTTTCCTTTAATGAAAACAATTAATTTTTCCTTATAAAAAAATTTGCAAAGCTCTAGCAGCTGTATTTACTATCTTTTTGTAATTTGTATACGCAATTTTTTTTTTTTTTCAACCACCCTACATATATTTATGCAAAATATTCGCAAAAGTATGTTAATAATGAAAGAGTCCAATAGTAATTCAGCCTTAATATTTATATATATATAAATATTGGCGAGCCAAATGTAAATACCATGCATAGTTTATAATTTATGGCAACACTGGCATTCAATTGCAAACATGTAAAAACAACAACATTTCATACAAAAAAAAAACTAATAAAGCGTAGAATAAACTACAATCTACTTTCTCCAAAATAATGGGTGTGAGTGGACAAAATTCGACTCTTCCGCTACTGCGTGTATCCGGTAATACCCTCGAACCCACAATGGTACATTTCTGTTGTATATATGTATAAACCAACAACTAACTTACAATCACTGGCATTGCCGAAATAATAGTATGAAAAGCAGAAATATTTGCTTCCTGCATACTGGAACTATTTTTGAAAAAAAAAAAAAAATGACGCTCACTAAGAAGCAAGCCCAAATATATAGACATATATACACATATATATATATATATATATGAATAATCAGTTAGTTAAATAGACATACATACAATCCTCCTCATATATATAAAATACAAATAAAAATACTTGGCCACTCGCCAATAATCGAAATTATTGAAAACTTTACATTTTAAGTAGAAAAGTTTCTCATTACTGCAGTATCCTGGAGCAGTTGGGGGCAGCCATTTTGCAATATGATAGCACAAGTATTTATAAAACGCGTCGTCGTTGTCATCGTCGACGGTATTTCTAGTGGTCGGTCGTTGGCTCCAGCGTATACTCTTTATTGCCAATAATAATGGTTTGAATGTGAGACAAGCGATTGTTAGTTTACCGTGTAGACAGACGCAGAAATACACATACCTATATTTATATATATACTATATTTGTAACATACATATATACAAATACAAGAAGACAGTCAAAATAATACTAACTTACAGCTGTTTGTACAAATTGAGACGACGACGGCTGGTAGACCAATGTATTTGAATAAGTACGAACATATATACATATGCCTACATACATACACGTATGCAGACATACCCTACAGTTGTGGCAAAGTCATAAACTCTGCTCATTTGATTGCTAAGGCGATTTGGCTGGTTCATTTCGTTCGTTTGTGTGGCGCGTAATATAGTTGAATCTGTCTGCTTCAATAAACTTCCTGCTTTCTTTGCTAACTTTAATGCAAATAAAGTTGTTTAAAGTTTACGAAAATTTCAACTGAGCGCCAGACGAATTGTTTACCGAATGCGTTCAGCTCAAGAGGGTATTTTTTAAGCTAGATTGACTTATATTAAATGTGTACGGTTTTGCGGAAATTATAATGATGAAAATATTTATTTAGGAATTTCCTTAAATATTTTAAATTTTTTATTTTGAGCTATTTATATACATTATATTTTTACATTTTTTCTCAATTTTTTATTTTTTTTTTTTTGAAAGGACGTAACAATAATAAATATTTGTCTGATAACCTATTTTTTAGTATTAAAGTACTTTTTTTTAAATAGTAAGAACTGTCCGATTTATAAGGACAATCGATTTTCACAGTCTTATCTTGAGATCAATTCATCCGGAGTCAAACAGACAGGAACAGATGGTATATGTTTCACTTGTTGATTCGACTGCATTAGAAATATTAATTTTTTAATCTTTTTTTGTTATACGAGAGTTTAATAATGGTAGCAATCCTTGCAATTAAAGCTTTTAAACAGGTGGCAAGTCTTTTCTAAATATTTTCGTATTAAACCTTTGTTTCCTCTTTAACTTATTAATTTAATGGGAGTAAAGTTTTCCAACAGGTGGCAACTCTCTTAAAAAATTGCTTCATCATAAAGTTTTTTAATAGCTTCTTTACGATATTAATGTGCGGTGAATAATGTCTGCTATCAATACGTTCAAAGAAAAATTTATAAAAAAAAATATATTGATTAATTCCATTGATTGACTTTAAGTTGAGTTTTTCCTAAATATCTTCAGTCTGTTATCCTTACAATCATTTAATTTTTGTTTAATTTATAAGTCAATACAGGTGGTAACTCTGCCGAACTGTTAAGCCAAATCGGTTCAGCCAAAAGATGTTTATGCATACACAAATTCAAAACAGATGGCAACTCTGTTGAATTAAAAATTTAAATATTCTCGAGAATTCTTGAATATTCCTTGAGGAACATAATCTTTTCAGAAAACTCAAGAGCCACTTTAAGAAGTCCAGATACATATCAATTCCAGTAAAATGTCTATATTCGAATGTATTGTATATAAAAATGTTTTGTTCGATTGTAAACGTTCGCATATCCCGAAATTTACTGACTTGAAATTTTGTCAGATCGTTTGTATCGTTCCTGAAAAATTTTGTTCAGGAAGTGAACCAAAAACTGATCGGGAGTATTCGAAAATATTAATACTATAGTACGGTTTACAGGAAATTTGGCACTTATGTTGGTGGCTTTTTACTTAGATTAACAAGACGACTACTCTGTTCTCCGAGAATCGGAAAAATGACCGAGCTATTCGAAAAAAATGGTATTTATGGTTCGATTTACTTGATACTCGGTATATGGAAGACTTTTAGCTTATATTAACAAGAATACTACTTTTCTCTCCGGGAAGTGGACCGGAACCTAACCTGTTCGAAAAAATCGTATTTCGGCTCGATTTACCTTTTATTCAGTACATAGATGGGACCTTGCTTAGATTAACAGGGAGACTACTCTACTGTCCGACCCACCTGTATGAAAATGAAACTATTTTATTACGAGAAGTGGATCAATTTATTTGAAAGAATATTCATACTCACGGTTAATTTAGTAAAATTTTTGGAAGCAAGCTCGATTCACTCGATATAAATAATATTTCTTTTACTGGAAAGGAATCTTCGGTAAACTATTAAAAATTAGCTTGATAAGTGTAGATCAGAATTGTGCTTTTGGCTTACTTCGAGGGATATTCATATTGACTTTTTCGCGAATGACTTTATGTAGCGAAAAATTAACTCACACATACATATATATTAGTTTGATCAATAGTAATATAATTAAAAAACATTTTATATTTCGACCAAGTACTGCTTAATTTGGGATTTGGATAAAAATTGGACAAAATTCGAATTGAAAGCCACAGCAACGTATGACTAGGCCTGCTAGTATATATGTGATTTATATATTATATATGTCTATAGTTTTTTTTTGCAATCCTTAAATAATAATATCCGGCTGGGTAACAATCACTTTGTTATTCATAACCTTAACCTTATTGAAGACAGAATCTGAATTAAAAAATCCTTAAAAATCTGTCTAACTGTTTAAAAACTTACTGTTTAAACAAAACTGCTTCATATTTAACAAATAAACCTTACCCTTACAGCTTTACAATAAGTTCAGCTATCTTTGATTTGCCAAAATTATAAATCAATACATTTTATGCTTTAAGTTTAAGAATTTAGGCATACACACATACACCCGCACATTTATATTTATAGCAAGCAATCACTTCTGTTATGCAGCTTAAATGCCAATGAACACAATGAAGTAAAGAATTTGTTTTGTTTTCTGCTCTTTTTGGGGGAGAAACCTCGCATTCTCCCGCCAGCAAGAATTTAAACCATCTTTCCTACACTCCCCCCGCCACATAAAAGTTTGCAAGCATAATGGAAAATGGACACTATGCGCTAATAATACGATTCGGCTACCGGAAAGCTAAATGCCAATTCAATAATTTGTGCTTGTGTTGGTGTCGACTGCCACCAAACCTCGCCTCGGGAAGTGAACAAAAGACGCTGAGGCAAAAGTATGTTCATGGAAAGCCGCATGGCATGCATACTGTGGTGTTATGTTGGGGCGCATAACGGAATATTGAAATACACGCAGTATTCGTGGGATATACTCTCACCCATACTACAATTATTGATTTTCAATGAGTCGCGTCGTTGTTATTATTATTATTTTCTTTATGTTGATTTTTTCTTTCCAGTTTTTTATTTATTTATATTTAGTACTTTTATTGGCGCGCCAAGCGGTTATGCAAAGACGCGTCTGTCCATAATTTGTAGACTTATTTACATAACTAGATATGTATTATAACTCCTTGGGTTGACATGATTTTATTATTGTTGTCGTTTTATTATTAATCTTTTTTCTGGTCTTTTTATTAGCAAAAGTCGTGGCATTACCCGATTTCGGTACGCCGAAATATATTATTTCCCTCGTTTTTCCAGCTTGACGTTGAATTCACATTGGTGTGGGGACCAGTATGCGCTTTTGGGGAGAAATATAAAATATTTCCGAGTGATTTTTGCTTTCTTTCGGGTACAATTGCTCGACAGCTCGAAAGTTATTATTGTTTCATGCGCGCAGTTGAATAGTTAGTTTATTTACGTTTGTTTGCGAGGAGCGTATGAGGGTGTGCTGAGAGGTAGGCGCATTTGTGCTTTGCTGTCTAGTTTATTTGCGTTGAATTTTGTACACTAAAGGGGACCCTTCACATAATTTTTGCCAGTTGGGAGACATTAGCAAAAATAAGCAACTTTTCTCCTCTCCTCAGCTACGTTTCATCACATTTGACTTTACTTGCATGCGCACGAGCTCCTTATTATTACAGTTTGGCATGTAAAAGTATGCAACATAGTTATTTGCGTTTTCACTTCGCATTTCATGCGTTATGGTCCCCCGACCTATTGTGGAAAGCTCTTCCAAAAGGGTATACTAATAATTCATGTAAGACTGAAGCGCCAAGTAAACTTTACTTTACTCCAAGTACATTCTTTGTCCTTCGAAAATCAGAAAGAAAAATAAACAAAAAAAAAAAACATTACTTTACTGCCTTCGCCTAAATGTAGACTAGAAAATATTTAAATATTGCTCGTTCCACCCCTTTTGCGAGGCAAACAAAAGTGTTTTAAATGTCGTGACGCACTCGTTTAGTAGCAGGCGTGCGCTAGATATTTACCAACCAATCACTCCCTTTCAAATGACTCTGTTCATTCCACCATCTCCCATCCGCCTCACAAAATAAAATTCATTTATTTTTCTTTGACAGTTTGTTGCTACAACCTTTGTTTGCTCCAGTTATTTAAGGTGCCCCATAACCAACTTGTTGGTGAAAAGGCAAAATTATATTCAGCTGCTCAGTGCCTTTACTTCGCTTCCAGCAGCGGTCTTTATTCACCCCGCCCCCTCTCACCCAACGCTTTCTCATTGTCTATGCAATATTTATTTTTGTTTTGAATTTTACGATGCGCCTAATGAGTGAACAAGCAAGTAACGGTGCGTAGCGCAGGTGTGCTTACCGTTAGTGGTATGTTGGGGGTGAATTAAGTTGCTGCTGAGTGCAATGGTGTAGTTGAAATTTTATCATAATATTTAACATGTGCTGGAATTTATGATTTCATTGAAAGTCAATGCCGCCAGCGGTTGGTTTCTATATTGTTGTGGAATGTGAAAATATTTAACCTCCTTCTCTTGTGATATTTTCACAACAAAAATGGTGAACAACAATAACTATGTTTCTATGGCAATGATAGAAGTTTAATGCTAGGCGATTTTTTTTTTTTGTTGAAAAATTTGAGCTGAGAAATTTTTATCAGAAGCAAGAGGCAAAAGAAATTTTTGGAAAAGAAATATTAATTATTATATTGTATAATAAATAAAATTCTTATACTTTTTTATCGCTTCATATATATTTTTTAATTATTATATTTTATAATTAGGCAATATTTTAGTTTTTTTTTTTTCATAAAATTTCAACAACTTTATATGACTATCATATATTATTTTTGTATTAATTAGTAATTACTATTTTTTTTATTCCAGGTTACGAATGGATCGGTTGGCGTAGTGACATACCCGATTTGAACGGCAAGCCAGTTGAAATCATTTTCGAATTTGATACAGTACGAAATTTCAGTGCAATAATTTTGCACACAAACAATATGTTCACCAAAGATGTGCAAGTGAGTATCGATATTTTTTAGTTTTTCACGGTGAAATCTTGCAAGAGCTTAAAGCTTTTCAAGTAACTTTCTTCTACCCAAACTTTTAAAACTTCTAATTTATTTACAAAAAAAAAAATAAGTATTTATATTGGTTTTATTTTTCTATTTCGAACACAATCGAAGGTATTCGTGCGTGCTAAAGTATTCTTTAGTATCGGTGGGCGACATTTCTCTGGTGAACCGGTGCAATTCTCTTATATGCCAGACACCGTAATGGATCACGCGCGAGATGTCACTATTAAATTGCATCACCGTGTTGGTCGATATTTGAAAATCAATTTATATTTTGCTGTGAAATGGATTATGCTGTCGGAAATTTCATTTATTTCGGGTGAGTTGTTAAGTGAAAACTAAATATTAATATACATATATGTATGAAGTAGAGAAATAAAATGAAAGCTGTTGATGACGGGCAACGCAATGAAGTTCTATGTTATTAAAACATTACAAGGAGAGAAGGAGAAATTATAAATAATAAACTAAAGAATAAGAAGAAAATTATTAGAATTGAAATAAATATATAAAAATAGTATTAAATAAAAAAATAAATAAAATACTACTAAAAAAAAAAATAGAGGTAAAGTGAAATAAAATAAATTGACATAAAATTAAGTAACGTAAAATTAAAAGAAATAAAATGAAATAAAATAAAATAAATAAATTAAATAACATAAATTAAATTAAATATTATAATGTTAAAATAAAATCAAATAAAACCACATAAAACTAAATAACGTTAAACAAAAGGAAATAAAATAAAATCAATCATAATAAAATAATATTAAATGAAATTAAGTGAAATGGAATGAAATAAAATGAAATCAATCAAAGTGAATAAAACAAAAATAAATTCAAATAAACTTATATAAAAAATTAAATTAAATATTACAATGATAAATTAAAATGACATAAAATTAAATAACGCTACATAAAGGCTAAAAAAATGAAATAAATAATATTAAATGAAATGAAATAAAATTAAAACAAAGAAAAATCCAATAAATTAAAATAAAAATTATTAAAATTAAACAAAAGAAAATTAAAGAAAATAAAATATATTAATTGAAAAAAAATAAAAAAAATAAAAAAAAATAAAACAAAATAAAAAACTTGAAATAAAATGAAATAAATTAAATTAAAATAAACTAAACAAAAATGACATAAAATAATTTAACGTAAAATAAAAATAACTAAAAAGAAATACAATTAAATCAAACAAAAAAAAAACATTTTTAAATGAAATGAAGTGAATTAAAATGAAATGGAAAAAAATATTAAAAAAATTAAATAAAATAACACAAAATGAAATGAAATAAGTGAAATTAAGGAATAATAAAATAAAAAGACACAAAATAAAATATCTTAAAATAAAATAAATTAAATTAATCAAAACTTAAAAAAAAATAAATAATTTTACGTAAAAAATAAAATAAATCAAATAAAATAAAAAAAGTTTAAATGAAATGAAATAAAAGAAAGATAACCAAAATCAAATAAATTTAAGTGAAATAAAACAAATTGAAATATATAAGATTAAATTAAATAATAAAAAGTTAAATTAGTAAATAACAATAACTTAATGATTTAAATAATGATTTTAATAACAGTAACTTGATTTAAATTCGGAATAAATAAGTTTAATTTTAAATTTAATTTAACTTGTGTAAATTTTATTTTACTTTATTAAAAGTAAAAGAGTTTAACGTTAAATATTTTTGTTCAAACATAATTGTAATAATATGTACCTGTTGGCTCTAAGTAAATATTTGTTCTACTTTTCATAAAGAAATAATAGTGTAAATGGCCTAAGCTATCATTTGATATGTATGTAAGGTGCAAACACTATGCTTAGGTATGGTCCACTTTCTTTGATTCACAATTTATTATTGACTTTCTCTTACGTGATTCTAACTTCAATAGCCTTATAGACTATTAACCTACCAGCTGCCCTTTCTACACTTCATTTCCTCTTACTTTCTTCATGTAACTGACTTTCCTGCATTTCCGCATAACAAGCCGGACATGCTGCAATATCCTACAATGTATTTGCACCAGTAAATCTATAAGTGGCAAGCACGACTGCACTTATACTTGTACTCATACCGCCACCTACTACCTAGAGAGGCGAGCACAAAAATAACGACGACATTCATTGTTGTCGGCTCGGCCAAAATGTTGGAAAAATATATGCGCAATTTTATTTCAACGACAAATGAATATGAATTCGAATTGTGACTGTGTGATTGCAAGCCGACAATGGACACTAACACATACGTGTACATTCATATGTACTTACATATATACATACAATTGCAATCGCATTAACTCTAACAAATATATGTACATTGCATGCAAATATAGCACTTACAAGTATGCACACATATTCAGAGCACACAGAATTGTGATTTGTCCATACATACGTGTATGTAAGTGCACTCGTATGTATGTTTGTATTTTTGCCATCACTTGAAAGTGAAATGAAGCTGAAAATGATTTTCCATTCGAAATGCATTTGAAAGCTTACTCTTACTCGTAAATGCACTCAACCACACAAGCACGCACTAACAATCGCACAAATACACATACACACATACACACATGTATCTAACAAACACATGTGTATCCAAAAAAGCCAAACGTGCTACCGTGTGCTATATGTATATATATATATTTTTTTTTTCAATTTTGTTTGCACGCTTTTACCTCATTCATTCTTTGAGTGGGCGGAAATTTCACATGAAAAATGTTTCTGCCACAAATACTCGTACTTCATATGCTTTCACTCATACTAATACTCATTCGTGCGTGCGCCATTTGGCTTTTGTAGTCTCCATCAGGCGTCGACTTATTGAGTTTTACTCTCTGTTGGTGCATAAGTTGCATGTGGCAAGCAAAAATCGTATGTTGCATGCATGCTAAATTTTTGACCAAAGCAGATTTCAATTGCAGTAGCATAAAGGCGCTTACGAACGAGAATTTTAAACGTTTGCAAATGTGTGTTTTTGTGCATTATTGTATGTATATGAGTGATGTTTGTAAGAAGTGTTCACTATTTGCATGCATTACGCTTGCATAAAATTGTGGTATACAATATAGTGTATATTTGGCGGAAACTTTTTCCGTTTCGCGTGGGTTTTTGTTGTCCGAGTATCTCTTAAGTCACAAAACAGTTCGGATTTTATTATAAATAATATATTTACATTATAATAATAGCTAGGTAAAAAATATTCTTAACTGGTCATATTCCACATGAGGACTATATCATATTCTAATAATACTTAATTTTATTCATTGAATTTTACTGTATTTTATATACGAAAAGTGTTTTTTATCCGCTGAAGCGAATTTCGGCTAAGCTCATCCGCTAATTTGTATTGAGCGTGTTGAGGATAAAAACGCAAGGAAAGACATAGAGATTTCTCCACGTCCTCGCAGATTATCTGATGATCCAACAAAAGTTGGGGGGGGGGAGGGTGTGCTCGACAATTAGAAACATTTTTTTTTTTAATTATTATTAATATTTGATTTTGTTCTCCATTATTTTCTTTCATTTTTTATTTTATTAATATTTCATTTCGTTAAACTTTATTTTAAATTATTTTCTATTATACATATTTATTTAATATAATTTATATTCGTACTTAAGTTTAGTTTGCTTAATTTAATTTCATTTTGTTTTTATTTTTTTCTATTTCATTTTATATCATTTTACAATATTTTACTTTATTTCAATTAAAATTAATTAATTTAATTTTATTTTGTTTTATTTTATTTCGTGTTATTTTATATTATTTTTTTATTAATTATTTTATTTTACTTTGTTTTTAGTTTTATTTTATTTTAAGTTATTTAATTTTAACTTATTTTGTTTTACTTTATTTCATTTTATTTTAATATATTTTATTTTATATTTTTCATTTCGTTTCATTTTATTTCATTTTATGCTATTTTATTTAATTTTGTTTCAGGTTATTTTATTTTATTTATTTTATCTTATTTTATTTTTACTTTTTTATTTTCCTTTATTTAATTTCATTTTTTTATGTTTTCTAAATTTTTTGTTTTGTTTTATATTTTTTTATTCCTTTTAATTTTATTTTATTGTATTATATTTTATTTTATTTTTTCATCTCATTTTTAATTATTTTTTTTTTTAATTTTTTGTTTTATTTCATTTTATTTAATTCCTTTTTATTTTATTTTATTGTATTGTATTTTATTTTTATTTATTTTACTTTATTGTTTTCTATTTTATTTTATTTTCTTATTTTATTTAATTTAATTTTTATTTCTTTCTTTTGTTTTGTTTTTTTTTATATTATTTCATTTATTTTATAAATATTTTATTTGATTTAGCTTTAAAAATACTTAGTAAATAAATTTCGAACTATTTTTCCATTAAATTTATGCTCCTTTAAATATTTTACCCACCGTATTCGTTATCATTTTACTTAAGCTAAGTGTAATTCAAGCTCTAACAGTTCCGCTCAACCATTCACCTCCTTCTGTTCTATTGAGCAGTGAAATTCTAGATGCCATTACCTTGATGTGCCCTTCAACCTTTCTCATTTGACTGCATTTGCTTATTTGCATATGACGTTATAAGCAACAACTGTAAATGCAAACATATTGCATAATGTATATACGTGAATAGGGCAAAGTGCAATACTGTGTACTTACCACTGCTGCAGGCACTACGAACTTGCTTTTAGCATGCCATTACCTTAGCGAAAACTAAAACTTTACATTTTTACTACTGAATATACTTATTACTAATACAATGTACAGTAGTTTGCCTTTTAAATATACGTATGTATGCATGTACGTAGTTTTTTATTTGCATATAACTAGGCGCCATAGCAGTATATACAGTCACATAGTAAGTACTTGTGTACATAAGTCTAGTTGGCTAGTTATGTATAAATGTAATTATAATTTTAAATTCACTGCATAACAGCGAAGATTTGTTGTCGAGAGAGAGAGAAAAGTACAAAGTCACCGTTAGTTGGTTACTACTTTGCATACATACATATATATGTATACGAATATTTGTTAATACTCCTGCCAATCAACACACTTGTGTTGTTAACAATTCGTCCTAACTACATACATATGCACCTGAAAATGTTTCAGAGCTTGAATGTATATATGAATGTACGTATATATACAATTTTCAAATATAAATATGCATTAAATTAAAATGAATGCAAGCAAGTGTGTTTGACGGTATTACGAGTGGACATATGGGCACGCAGCTTTCGATTCTTAAATCTTTTAAAGCTTAAAATATTACCTGCACAAAATCTAAATTTCAAAATTTAAAAGTAGGAA